AGGTCTATAAAAATAACTCAAAATAATATCACAATAATTTTTTAATGTTTTTGTTATTATTTTATTATTATAATATAATTAACTTTGATATTATTTTAATATTTTAATTTCAAAAATACCTTAAATATATCTTGATATATTTTAAAAATTTTACAAAATAATTGCACAATTGTTTTGAAAGCCATTGTATCTAGGTCTATAAAAATATTTCAAAAAATTGGCCATTTTTAGTAAAGTATTATATCATTACATCATTACAGTCTAATGATTAATTGTCAGATTTTAATTTATTAAATTTATTAATCATTTAATTGTTAAAACTAATAATTGTTAGAACAATTGAAAATTGTTAAAATTGTTAAAAATAATGAAAATAATTGATCTGAAAAAAAATACTGATTTCTTTCTATTACTGTGAATATTTTTATGTTTTTTAAAAAAATTTAAAAAATTTGAATTAAATATGTCCAATAAGAAAGATTTAGAAAAAGTAGACGAGCTATTGGGTAAGTTGATCGGTGAACAGCAGATATCAGGATATACTAAAAACTAATGATTATCCAAATTAATAGCTTTTACCCAACAAGCCAAATATTTTTTTGAAAAAATATCGAATATTATACAAGGACAACAAGAACAGCAAAATAATGAATCTTATGAGGTGCTAGGTTCTTCACAGACTGTTTCTTCACGAGGTTCTTCACAGGCTGGTTCTCAACAAGAACCAATTCTTATATTGTCAAATGAGAATATAACAATTAAAATGGAAAAAAGTGACACCGCTGTAACTAGTGGTATTAGTAAAAAAGGTAAAGAAAGCGCTGTAACTAGCGCTACTAATGAAAAATATAGGGTACTAAAAAGGCCGTCAAAAAAAAATACTAACAATGATGACAAAAATTCCAGAAAAGCCATCAGCGATAAAGCAAAGGAAAAGCCCAGTCCAATCAAGTTCAGACGATTCAAGTGATTCGGACAGCTCCTATAGCTCAAATAGTTCAAATACTCCCTTTTATTTGACGAAGAGTGATATGCCAAAAGATCTGAGAGAAGCCTTAAGGGTAAATAAGGATATCCCAAATTAATTTTATATATATTTATTAACTGATATTGTTAATTTTAATTTTTATATAGAAGGAAGTTATTTGGAAATATGATGCGTTACCAGAAGGGAGAAGGATTGATTTGGATCAAACATTCACTAATCAGCAAAATCGTGTTATTAACGATATTATACCTAGTATAATGGAAAATATTAATAATAATATATTTCCTATTTCTAACAAAATTTTATATGATATAATTCACTCCCTTCATCATTATCAATGTGAAGAGCATCTTAAAAAGAATCGGTCATCGTCAAGAAAAAAACTGCAAGAAAAAAGAAAACATTCCAATTCCAGACGCCACGACGTAAGTAAATAAAGTTTTGTACAGTGTAAATATTTGCTTAATACTAACTTCTTATTTAATACAGAAAAGATTAAAAAGGGGAAGATTAATAAAACATTTACAGATGGTGAAAAATTCATTAGTCAAGAAATTTAAGGACGAAGGCTTACAATTAATAATTGACAATAACGCTTACCATTCGCCCAAGAAATCCAAGACTGATTGCGAAAATGAGAGAAGAAATATTATTGTCAAAGATCTTAAGTGGAGATCTGACACAGTGAGTATTTCTTCCTGCTTTTATTATTTTTAATTTTACCATTTCTAACTATTTTTAATTTTACTAACTATTTCTAACTATTTTTAATTTATTTACTAACTATTTCTAACTATTTCTAACTATTTTTAATTTTACTAACTATTTTAATTTTTAAGTTATGATTATTTTTGTGTGAATATATTGACCGATTAAGAACTGAATAACCCAATAATAGAAAATTACGTGAGCGAGTTATGGGTAATTATTTTTGTAATAATGAACCAGCGGCGCCTTTATTGGTGCTGCATTGGACTCGTTCCAGATATAAAGGAAAGTTAAAGATCACAGTCATCCAGCAGCTGGACCAGCGTCAAGACCAGCAGCATGACTTGATGAAATTTGCAAAAAGTGAAAAGTCCTTTAATGATGGATATAACACTGACATTGGAGAAGGTGAGGAAGAAATAGAAGAGACTGTTTTATTAACAAGTACTGACCAACCTTCCAATCAATCTTCTGACCAATCCTCTAACCAACAACCTTCCGATCAATCCTCCAACTAATAACCTTCCGACCAATCCTCCAACCAACAACCTTCTGACCAATTTTCCAACCAATCTTCTGGCCAACCTTCTGGCCAACTTTCTGACGATGATTATCTTGAAATGAACGATTGATGGTAGTGATGGTAGTGGTGTTGTGATGGTGGTGATTTCCTATATTTTGTATTCTATTTACCTATTTCTCACTAATAACTGATTCCCCCTCCCCTGCTTTTGCGAATTTTATGTATATTAATTAGTATATACAGTTAATTTTTTTTTTCTAAAAATACTTCTTTCAAATAATATTATTGTAATATTTCTTTTTTCAATTATTTCTTTAATTATCCAATAATATTCTTTTTTATAAAAATCTTTGACTTTCTGCCTATTTTTTCTTTATTAAATATCATTCCTTGTATATTCCCTTGTTCATTTATTTTGTACATATTATTTCATCATGTATAGTCAAATGATAAATTTTCAGTGGGTAATTAGGAGAATTATTAAATCTTTTAATACAATTGGTGACAAAATTGTTTATTATTTAGAATAAATCATTTATTAGCTTATGCAATATAAAAATAATGTGGGTACATACATTTTTATTATGATTTCCATCATTGTTCGGTTTACTAGTAACAGTTAAAATAAGTCTTAGATCAAATAAAATCATAAAGCACATTTATTGAATG